GTTTGTTAACTGCATATTGAATCCTTTTTTCCTCGTCTTCCATTGATAATAGCGGAATTCATCACTCACTTCATCATGCGAAGTTGCAGCAAATTTTATTGTGAAATGCTTGACCACGTGCTCCACTTTAGCACTATGAAGAAAAAGTCCTGAAATTCTTATTGGACCTTGATTAAAAACCCAGNGCGTAGTATGTGTTGTCCACCCACGTGNAGCTNAACCAGAATCATCTTCCTCNTTGAGATACTTCATGAGAAACATGNCTGGAANTTGGTTGAATTGACAAGAATGCGCTGAAACACGCGCATGAAACAAGTCTTGATTTAAGCACTCCAATATAACCTCCATACGAACTNTTGTTGAAGACATGTTTTTGCAATAAGGTGGTGTCNCTCTATCATGAGCTGAAACGACCCACAACTGTTTGCTTGTCCGGCAAGTAACATCACTCCACCAAATAGTTATCGTATTGGAACCCAATTGTGGACTACTTCCAGCTCCTTTTCCTTTATAGTGCAGAAAAAACTCAGGCTCTGGATTTTCCGCAAAGATATAGGCCAAAACAGAGCCAAATTGCAAACCCAAACAGTGAGAAAAAGCAACGAAATGAGTAAAACTTTGGACTGCCACATGTTTCACTTCAAAAAGCTGCATCGGAAAACCAACATAGGAGACCGTAACATGGTAGATCAAGCTCCAAATGACGTCAAATTCGTACTTCTGGTTGGTAGGATAAAGCAGTCTAAGATTAATGAGAGCAATTACCTTGTGGTGGCGTTGAATCCCAAAAATGAATACTTTGAGGAAACAACTAACTACAAAACATTCAAGTCAAACCGAGGACGTAGTAGAAACATGAGAATGCACTCGTAGACCATTCGAAAACACACTGGAGTATGATCACGAGACAACAAAAAGTTGAGGCCTTCCGTGAACAGCAGCATCAGATTAATTACACTTGTGGACACATTGTTGCATCCAAGAAGTGGTATTCTATCAATCGAAAAAGCAACACCAACCAGCATTCTTAACACTAAAACAGTTTCATCCCACCTAAAAACTGTAGTAACGTCGTCAAAGACTTTCAATTCTATTATATGCACAGCTTCGAGTTGCCCCTTAAAAACTCCATGTTTCAACCCAATTTGGGACAAGATGCTTGAAAAGAACACCACGAGCTCAATTGTGAATGCATGGAGAACAGAAACCAATGCCATAGGAACCAATGGTGGCCGTACAAAAGGAGACGAGTCCCTACCAGCGAACACGAACACAAAGACCGCATGACCGCTGAACGGATGCACTAGACCTCGAGCAAAAGAGACCAAACAAGAAATATTTTGGACTACAAGCTGCACTTCACAAAGGTGCAATGAAAACCCCACGTAAAACACAACACTGCTCATAAGAGAAGCCCAATTGATTTTCCTCATGTGCTTCCTTCTTGCCACAAAAATATTGCCATGATTTATGAAAGCAAATANGTAGTGANGGTGTAAAGACGACACATTTAACACAGCTCCCAGAATTACAAACTCTTTCAAATCTTTCACTGATATTTTTGAGATATCCACNAGGCCAATAGNACTTAAGGCTTGCACATTGACGATATTTCTTGAAAGACCCTCATNAGAGATCACACCGTTCAAAGAATTCCTTTTGCCACTAAACTTGTACTTTCCTGTATCCACACTTACATGAAAGAAGAGCTCAAGGAATTGGTGAATGCGTGAACGCTGGAATTCTAACACGGCTCCAAAAATGAGTATAACGTCAAAGCAACCAATAACGACGGGGAGAGGTGGTGGTGGCACCTCTAGTCTCNGTATCGACAAGATTTGTTTGTGATCAAAGACAAAGTGGGGAACATTACTCCTACTGTGATCCACATCTCCCATATCGATCTTCAAACTAAAAGNATATTTGTGTTTAGACACACTTAATGCACCCTTAGAATACTGGAGCTGTTGAATGTCGAAATAAGTTNTAGAAGGCTTTACAAGCCGTTGACATACCTTTCTTCCTTCACAAGTTTCTTGAATTAATGCTTTAGATATCTTGATAAGGATACGCATGGAATTACTGGTCTTATAATANTTTCCCATGAGCTCACATGAAAATAGTATCATAACTGTGCTACTTTCCACATAGAAAACTACCATATGCTTATTGTTTGTATCAAAAGCTTCAACGGCCAAGAGCGATGTAATGGAATCTATGATAGATACGTCTCCATCGTATACTTCACAATGACAAGAAGATGGAATTGTTATTGGGTCTTCTTGTTTAAAAGCCCGATTCAGAAACTCCATCGTTGAACTGCACATGCGTGTGTGTGCAACCTTTTGCTTTGTCATGTAGCTAACGACATGGACATCTACGCTTGTTATTCCCTCTTGTCGAATAATTCGAAGGAAAGAATTACCGCATAGTTCCCGATCTGGTGGCTCGACATCTTCATCATAGAGAACAAAAGTTGAGCAACCATAGTTCCCGATCTCGTCATCACAAGCTCGATGCACAACACCGTCTATATCAACATAGCTTTCAAAAACCATTGCAACACGGATCTCACTGGAGAGATCTTCAACAACACAACAAAACAAATTTTCATTGAACAACAGATATTCCTCACCGTAACAAAACAAATTGTCACTACGATGAAACAAATCTGTGCTACGACCCTGATATGGAGGCTCTTCGTTGATCTGAACATGTTCCATTGGTCCAAACTTTACATCTTTCACCTTTTGAATTCCAATAAATTCGACGTCATTTTCTTTACTAAAGACATGAAAGGTTGGATCTGCANCAACGCAGTCATCGAAGATCGGATCTACATCATCATAGACATCAAAGATTGGATCTGTATCATCATAGACATCGAAGATTGGAGCTCCATGGATCTCTTTGACAGGATAGCCACCTCTTCAACATCTTTGTCGAGGAACACAACATCCTGTTGAGGTAAAATATGTNGTTGTTGGTGAGCCTGGATGAAGGCGACTAGAATAGATTCCATGGACNGTCGTAACTTGTCGCATAGATCTTGTTCCAACTTCGCGAACATTTCTCGCAGGCCAATTGCTTGCTCATATCTTCGTTGTTGCAAATTCTTTCTCAGTGACATGATAGTAGGACCGTTTTGGCTCTGATACCAACTGATNGAGAGGCGGAAGCTAGGTAACGAAGACACAAGAAAGACCTAAGGAATTCGTGTGTAATCGGGTTTGATTTAAGCGAAGAAGATCTACGCTTAAATCGATAGAGGTTGGGAATACTCTTCCTCGTGCTATAAAAGCTCGATAGAGGTTGGAAATATTCTTCCCCATGCTATAAAAGCTCGTTTAGCTATGAAAGTTTAAAGTTTATTCAATATCAAAGTTATCCTTCCTATTTAGTTACAACAAGCTTATATAAGAAGCTAGCATCGAAAACCCTAATCTAACAAAGAAACAAAATTAGCGTATACTTTAAAAGCCCAAATGAAATAGAAGCCCAATCATGACAAAGTTCTACTAAGGCGTGATCAACTTGAGGATGCGCTGTATCTATAGCCGAGAAATTATGTATGCAGAAGTCAAAATGTAGTGGTTTACTAGAGGAAATATTCATTTGTTATAAACCAGTATTCTTTTTTTTTTCTTCTTTTGCTAACCAACGGGAAAAGAGCATATTCCTCCATGAAATATGAATCGTCATCCAATTTATACATGACCTATGGAGCCATGTCAAAACCCACATAATTTATCTAAAAAAATTGAATTTACTACATGAAGTTTCAAAATACGGTCAATTCCCACAAAATTGCAAACAAAGTGAGTTTTTCTTTAACAGTTTAGTGTGATTTAAATTAAACAGATTTTTTAAAATAAAAGAAAAAATAATTTGACTAAAATGACATTATTTTAGTTCGATTTTATTTAATTGGTCTCAATATAAATTCGAACCTTGGTTGGAAATCTGACAACGGGGAGACTCTACTACTTTTAAAATATTAGAAATGACTCTTCCATTTATACTTAAGAGAACTAGATGACTAACCCGCGTACACGCGGATAACATATTTATAATTTTGTTTAATTTTACACTTTGACTTGTAAAAATATGTATTTTTTATATTTATTATAGATATTGTTGTTGATATTTTTGTTGTTAATTTTTTTTTCATCTATACTGTTTTGTTAATAATATGAATTTTTGAAAGTTTAGTTTTACTATTTTATTATTTCATAATTTTAATAAAATATGATTTTTCAAGTCTTCTTTGTATATAAAGTAATAAAATTAAACAAGTCAAAGTGTGAAATTAAACAAAATTATAAATATGTTACCCGCGTGTGGGCGAGTCACCTAGTTCTCTTAAGTATAAATGTTACAACAATATTTCGAATCTGTCAAAAGTAGTAGAGTCTCCCCGTTGTCAAATCTCCAACCATAGTTCGATTTTATATTGAGACCAATAAAATAAAATCGAACTAAAATAATGTCATTTTAGTCAAATTAATTTTTTCGTAATTTTTTTTTCAATTTAAATCACACTAAACTGTTAACGGAAAACTCATTTCTGTTACGATTTTATGGGAATTGGCCGTATTTTAAAACTTCATGTGGTAAATTCAAACTTTTAAATAGACTATGTGGATTTTGGCATGACTTGATAGGTCATGTATAGATTGGATGGCGATTCATAGTTCATGGGAGGAATAAACTATTTCCTGGCCAATATTCATTTGTTATAAACCAACATACAATTGGTTGGGTCGACTACCCTTCGCAACCCAATCCAGATTTTAGGGTTTGTTCTCCGTTTAATTAAACCGCAACTAGCCCGTTTGCTTTTGTTGTCCGATTACTTTATGTTAATTTTTTTTTTTGGTAAGAATTTTTTTGATTCATTTCACCCACAAGGATTGTATAGTTTATTTATTTCAAATTTTTATCAGTAAAATTTTTAGTGTTGTTAGTAAAATATGTTGTGTTTTAATTTAAATCATTATAATCTAAACCCAACTATTTATTTTTAAATATATAAAAATAAAGTACTTTTTTACCATACCTAAAATAACCTCATGACTTTTTATTTATATGTAAATTTTATTTCACATCTTAAATAATTTTAATATGATTAATTAAGAAAACTAAAATAATATATAATATATTTATTAAAATTTAATTGACTTGTTAGTGCCAAATGTTATATGATATTTGTTAGTTATATTTTTGTTTTTTTGTTAGTGTATTTTTTCCAAAAATAATAATTAGATCTTAATAAAAATAATAGAAAAAGAACCCACAAATCATTGAACATAACATAAAACAAAAATAAATACTAATATTTATTACATATCTCATACATATATAATTTGGTGCGATATAATTGGCTCGCTATTGTCTTTTAGATATAATATGTACAAAATACATTAACTATATCAGTTTCTTATTTGTCAACATTTACTAAATATAATAACAAC